TTATTCTCTATCTTCCTTATATCTTTATCTTCTTTTAAGTTTATAATATCTAGAGACTTATATATTATTTTTATTAGGAGATAGACTTATACTATACTCTATAAGCTAGCTTTTATAATAATCTCCTCTATATAGGCCTATTAATTTAGGAATATTCTAAGTTTTCCTTAGGAGAGGCTACTCCCTAGAAATCGATCTAGTTTTCCTAGATTATAGTACTTAAAGGGGATTTTATCTTTAAACTATTTAATTCCTTCTTTGTTTAATAATATAATTAGAGTATTATCTATATAGAGTAGAATCTAGATATTTAGTTCCTTATAGACTATAATATAGGGTTTATTAACTAGTAGTTTAAATCCTATCTTTTTTAGTACTTCTATAATTATACTATACTAAAGATAGCCTATTTACCGGAGTCTATATATTACTTATAGAAGGAGGTAGACCTCCTTTTCTTAGTTTAGGTTATTTTTCTCGAACCCTACTAGCTACTATATAAAAATAATATAATTATCGATAATTGCGTTTAGATATACCGTAGTATAATTGACCTACTTAAGAAATATATTATTTATAACCACTATACTAAGAAATAGTCTTATTATCTTTCTTTATATAACTAGTATATAATTTTTATTAAAATTAATCCCTAGTCTTTACCTATTTCTATAGACTACCTAGTATACTCTAAACTCTTAGACTATATTCTCTTTATTAATCTTAAGGTTAAAGACCTATTTCCTTAGTAGGATTATTATTCTAGTAGGTAGTTACTTAATAATTTTATATATCTTAGCTGCTTTTAGCTTTTCAATTTATATTTCTATTATAGTATACTATTAGTCTTTCTACTTCGATACTATAGCCTCTATATATATCTAAGGGATCTTAACGTTCTATAACTTAAGTTATTATCCTATTAGAGGTAGGGTAACTATTCCTTATTCTAGTCCTTTTTCGGTAGATAATAGAGTGAAACCTATCCTAAAAGGTAAATTTATCTAATAATCCTTAGGTACTAGTCCTATTTCCTTATCTCTATTTATAGTATATTATAATCCTCCTTCTCTACTCTAGTTATATACTCTATACTTTCCTTATTTTATATTATCGTAGTATTTAGGTAGGTAACCTTTTATAGATCTTTTAGATTAGTATAATAGTTATAGTAGGTTAAGATATATAGGATTTATATTAACCTATCTTATTTCTAGTTATCTTAATAGTATTAGTATAGGAGATAGTAAGTTTAGTTCTTTAAATACTCCTAGAAGAGGTAGGTATATTACTAGTTCTTTATAAATAATTCTAGATTATAAAGGTAATATTTATTAAGTAGGTTAAGCTAGTATCTCTAGTACTCTTTATATAAGTACTTATATTCTATCTTTAAGTGATTCTTCCTATAGAACTTCCTTATTAATATTATAGAATAGTTCAGCGTCCTCTATATTTATAGAGTTTATCTTAGAGTCTTATTAATACTCTTCCCCTAGGCTAGTATACTCTACAATTATCCTAAGGTAAAGATTTTAGAAATTTTTTAATAGTATTTCTATTACTACTCTTATATTTTTAAAGAGTAGTTCTTCTATTATAAACTGTGTTTTTTTTACTAGAGGGCTATTAATAATCTCTTCTCCTATCTTAATTTTATTAGTTCTATTATATATCTTAGGAATTCTTATTTCCTAAAAAACGATATCTCTATATATCGAAACTTTCTTTATTTTAGGATTATAGATATAGTAATAGTACCTATTATCTCCTTTATATCCTATAAGGTATCCGATCTATACTCTAGGATCTATCTTTATTCCTTATATTCGAGTTTCTTTTAGTTTATAGATATATACTTTAGAGTACTATACTTGGAGAAATAATAGGTTTATTACCTCTTAGTCTCCTTATAGGTTTATTACTTTTCTCTAAGCGAGTATTAGGACTTTACTCCCTAAGTAAGCTAGTCGGTTAATAATATATACTGCTATAGTTACTACTTCGGTCTACAGTTCCTTTAGAATAATTCCTATATTAATATATATTATCCTTATTATCTATATAATATAGTAACTACTATATTTAGAAACTCTATTCTATTTATAGGTATATAGTATTAAGGTACTAATAGTTATTAATATAGTTTTTACCTAAGTAATAAAATAAAAAAATTCCTTTCTATTATTATATCTCTATTCTATTAGGTAGTAACCGGTATATTATTTAAACTATTTAATCTATATCTTAAGGGTTAATAATATATTACTTTTCTTAGATATATAGAATATAACTTAAAATCTAGATATATTATCTATAATAATTATTATATATTCTTTATCGATTTTATTATCTTTACCGATTCCTTTTAGTTTAATAGGGTATAGGTTAATATAAAGTAGTTACCTAACTTTTATTACCCTTACTTACTAGTCTTAGGAAATGATTTTCTTAGACTTCCCTTTTCTATATGATTTATAATTAAAATATTTAGTACTAATATTATATCCTAGCTTATCCTTATTAACTTATCCCTTATAGCTTCCTATATATCTAAGTCTCTAGTATATAAGTTCAGTTAAGATTAGGATATATACTAGACCTTCTCCTTCTTTATAATAGATAGGGTAAGGCTTATCCGCTAGTTTAATAATAGGAATATTCTTTATAATAAACGTATATCCTATTACTTATTAATTACTATCTTTAATTACTATATTATTAGGATTCTATCTTATCCCTTAATCCTAGTATATTTTTATTAGACTAAGGAGATTAAACTTATTCCCTAGCTTATATATATAATAGACATATAGTTTATATCTTATTCTATTTAGTTTCTAGATTAGTAATATAATATTACTATAGCCTTCTATAACTACTTACTATCTAGTACTTAAATCCTAACCGATTACTATTCCTAGTTTATATATTTCGAATATAATAAAAAGTTCTCTATTTAAGTAGATATACTAAGAAGATCCTAAATTAAGTATCTAATTGATACTATTCTAAAGGAGTTATATTAGTTTATTTACTATTACTATTCCGCTAAAGCCCTCTTTATTTTATACTATTACTATTCCTCTAAAATCGTAGTTTCCTTTATTAGTAGTTACTAATATAGTAACGGTATTAAAGTTTACCTATTATATCTAATCGGTAAGCTTCCTACTAACCTATTAACTCTTATTTTTATAAAATTAGCTTAATATCTTCTAATACTATAGGCTAGGCTTCGGCTTCTAGTTTTATAGTCTTTTATCTACTACTAGATAGAAACAATCTTTTATATTATAACCCTATCCCCTATAGTAGAAACAGTTCCTATTAGTGGTATATTATATCTTATAGTTTCTCTATTCTTTAATATACTTTCTTATATATTTTTTATATAGTAGAGTATTAGTTAACTTAGTCTTTTTACTTAAGATTTAATAGTTATTCTACTATCCCTTTAGTACTTTTATTACTAATACTAATATACTACCGTTAATATTAAACTCTTTAACCTTATCCTATATTTCTAAGTAATATAGGAAGAAATCTTAGATTATTATTTCTACTATAGGGTTTTTAATTAATTTAAGTTTATTATTTTTAATTTTAATTAAGCTTCGAAGTTCTATAATCTCCTATAGTTAGTTTACTATAATAATAATCGCTTAGTATAGTGGTATAGTAGCTTTTAGATCGTTAGCTATCTTAAACTATTATTTTAGTATATTAATAAACTCTATTATTATTAAGAAATCTATTCTTTTTATTCCGATAAATCGAATAATTATAGTACTTAGGGCTCTATATCCTTCTCCTTATATATATAGCTTATACTTATATATAAAGTTATCGGCCTATTTTATTCTTTTCCTACTTAATATAATATATTTAGCGATATCTAGGTCGATATATAGTTATAGCTAGGTACTGACTTATATACTTAGTTTTATCTAAGTCTTAGTATTAGCGGTATCTCGGTCTAGTCTCTTAATATTTTTATCGATTAACCGGTATAAACTATGACTTTCGAGAATCTTAGTTACTATTCTAAGCTAATTGTTAAAATCTTCTTTTTCCTTTAGGAGTGGTTCTATCTTATATAAGATAAAGCTGCTAACGGCTAGGAGACCTTTACTCTAGTCTCCTATTAAGTATAAGGTATCTTCTACCTTATCCTAATCTTTATTTTTCGGTATACTAACCCCTACGAGAGGTTAATTGGCTATTTATACTGGTCCTATACCATTTCCTAGATCTACTATTATAGGCGACCTCTTATAGAGTTGGGATTATTATATTATTGAAAAATATTGATCTTTTTCTCAATTAGGTAGTGGTATTCTTAGATTAATCTATTTTTGTAGGGCCGGCGAATTTTTGATTTATCGCGTTATATATTCTACAGCGGTCCGTCCTACTAATTATGTTATTTTGTCTAGTCGCGACTCTCTCTGCGCGAGTTAGACTTCGTTTTAATTAATAAATGAAGATACCTCTTTACTGCAATGATTTTAGCTTGAAAAGTAGGGGTCTCATAACCTAATGGGACTATAGTATAGTGATGCAATTGAAGAGGGAGAGAGTTATCAATTCCTAAAGGGCAGAATGCCCAACTATCTAGTTATGGGGGTTGGTGCCTGCCGTACCGGGCTGATGGTCAGGTGACCACCATGTCCAACAATTTCTGTAGCCGATATTCGATATTCGATATACCTTCACGTGACCGTCCTTATCGTAGAAATTTTTTGCGATAAAAAAGGAATTGCCCGCGCGAATATCTAGAGGGGCAGATCACAAACTTCATTTATAAAAGTCAAAAGTCATTTGATATTGTGTCGGTGCTTTAGGCTCAGCTGCTGTAGTCTAGGTCCCGCTATTTCCCGACCACTCTACATCTCCTAACCCGATATCACAGCTAAGTATCGATTCTATACTGCGGTTTTGGCTGTCGAAAACCAAGGAGTGTGTAAAATTTGTTACATCTTGGAACACATCACATCATGTCTGCATCAGAATTGCTCCAAGCTCGCAACGAGACAACCACTAGGCTCTATGCAGACCCTCACAACCCCCACCTCCACCTTGAACGAGGCATTCAGTATGAAAAGTTGGGCTTCCCCGACCTCGCCTCTGCAGATTCATATCGTGCGCTAGCACTGCTGGAGTCGGTGGTTGACCCAGATGAGTGCGAGTTCCATGCCAGGCGGAAGATAGACCCTTCCCAGCAGGCTCCCAAAACGGTGGCGAATGAATCAGATGACGAAGACGAAGACAACAGCACTGTGCCTATCACCCAAGAGGAATATGATGCCATCATTGACCAGGTCTATGTCCTTCTAGTACGCAGTCTCGTCCGCTGCGGCTGCTACCGCGATGCATTCGAGTTCGGCGTGCGCGGGTTGGCCCTCCTCGAGAAGAGGTCTGCAACAGCCTCGGTAGCTGCTTTGAACGTGCAGATGGATCGTGTGAAGGAAATATACAAATCTCGCAATGGCTCTGAAACAGAAAACATCGATCTAGACTCAATCGATCCCAGCGTCCTCCCTGCACAGGGCTTCGCCCGCCGTGTCCTCTATCCCTGGAATGGGCACGAGCCTGACCGCCGTTCACCAGAGACTCTCAAAATACTCAACGAGCGATTGGCGGTCATTGCGCCGAAATGTGAGGTCCGCGCAGTGGCCTTGCCAGTGCTGCATGCCTCGGCAGATGACGACTCGTCCGGCATGGACGTCTCCGTGCAGCTCGGCCTCTTCGCGAAAGAAGATATCGCCCCAGACGAAATCATCCTCCGCGAGTCTTCACTGCTCACAGCAACCAACCGTCTCCACGACGATCTCTGCGATGCATGCAACGCACCGCTCCCAGAACTGTCCGCGGCCGAGCCCCCCGTCGCCTGCGAGGGTGGCTGTGTAGATATCATCTTCTGCAGCCAGGCATGCCACGACACAGCGCAGGAGGTTTACCACGGGGCAATCTGCGGCCTCGAGGATGGCCTCGACTCTATCGGCAAGGATGTCCCCGACCCTAAGGATAAGGCTGATTACCTGTACCTTCTTCTGCTTGGCAGAGCCCTCGCCATGTCCGCCACACAGGACAAGCACCCGCTCGACCTGCCCGAGATGAAATATATTTGGGGCGATTTCCATGATCTCGATATTGAGTCTGTCTCCGCGGAAACAGAGATAACACCAACCACTGACGATACCGCCACCCTCCCCTTCTCCTTCCAGCTGAATGTCCTGCAGCCGGAGCGTTTCCTCGACGAAATGGGCCTAGATCCATACGTCGCGCTCTACCGCTACGATACCTGGGTTCTAAACACGCTCTTTGCTAAGTTCCGCGGCACGGCATCAGGCCGACTTTCGACTTGGGATGGAGGCCCGGAGCTGTGCGCTGTTCATCCACTGTGGTGCCTTGCGAACCATTCCTGCGATCCTAATGTGACCTGGGAATGGAGTAGCGAAATCAATTTCCGCGTGCGGAGAGACGATGAGACGGCTGTTTGGTCGCGTGGGCTTGAGATGAAAGAGCTAAGGCCTGGCGGTATTGCGAAGGATTCGGAGATCCTGAATCATTATTGCGATATTAGCTTGCCCGTTCAGAAGAGAAGGGAATGGGCTTCTGGGGCTTTGGGTGGGACTTGTTTGTGTGATAGGTGTGTTTGGGAGGCTGGGGAGGTGGAGTAGGTTTGTATTTATGGGTTGGTGTGGATTGCCTTGATAGATCACGATGAGATACCCGTTTAACTGCATTCAACGAGAAGATTTCCAATCAATGCCTCCTATAGATCAAACACTTATTACTGGAGTCATACAAGGTGCTCTATTTGAACATGTTTATTTGAACATTGAGGAAATGCAACCCTCACCATGAAGAATAACACGTTTTTAGTCTTCAATAACATACTTCAGGAGCGCAGTGACTTCGCGCTCCAGTTTTAACCAAACTTCTTATATTTGTATATGTAGGCGAACATAAACATAGTAAAAAATAGGAAAAATTCATTCAATGTATATCAGTATGTTTAGTAAATATCTATTAGTTTGTCTTCGATCTAAAATATGGTACTGAGATTTAGACTTGATCAATCTACGATCTAGAATATTCCTTGGACTTGCGTGTGCGTGTGAATTTCCCGGGCATTAACTATCGCCTAGTCTCCTTTCTGTTTTATACGTATTCGTTTTTTTGCACTTATCTGTTCTATAAGATATTTATTTTGTAGGTATCATAACCGAAGAGATGTATGTTAATGGATATGATCATTGTGCTTTGTTTTTCATTCTTCTTTTTGTCCCTGCAGCTAGTTGAGATGGATGCTCATATAGGTATGTATACTTCTCCTTCAGGAATCCCAGAGCCACTAAGAGGACTATCTAGAAAGAAAAGTACCATATTTGAGGCCTCATATATGTTAGTTACTAGTGCTAAGATTCTAGGCAAAACTAGTCAGGACCAGCAATGATATTAGTCAGCGGTCGCTGACGACAACAGTCACAGCAGTCACCCGATGTGAGTGGACTCGATCATTTCTAAGACCCATTTCCTCTGAGAGATTATTGGCATTGTGTGGAAGAGAACACGCGTATGACAGCCTCCATCTACTCCGTACTCACCCCTCCTTTTGATCGACACAGCCGTGGATCCACTTCAGATGAGTGACCTTCAGAAATCATTTGCCAAGTCAAAATTGGCCAAATTTCCCCCCGAAGCACCAATGCCTGAGTCAATGAGCCACTCAGAGGATGCATGGGAGGATGGCTCTTCGGCTTCCTCGCTGTCGTCGACCGGGACGATGGTCCCGTCACCTACGCGACAGCTATTCGCCCGAACGGGACGACGGTTGGTTTACTTCTCCAATTTCCATAAGCTCAATTTAGGCTCAATTGCCTATTTGCATCATCCAATTGTCTGGGACTAGGCTAATATACGAAAACAGACAATCATCTCAAACCTCTTTGACATGGACAGACTTCTTTGACCAGGAACTATTTCTTCCGGAGGATGTTGATAATCTCCATATTTTACACCATGTCTATTTAACACCACCGACTGGATCAGGCCCGCTTTTTGTCATGCACCATGGGGCCGGTTCATCTGGACTTTCCTTCGCGACGTGCGCAGAAGAGATCCGGAAGATCCTCCCAAAGGCGGGGATCTTGTCCCTAGATGCTCGAAGCCATGGCCGCACTGTCGTTACCACATTGGACAGTGAGATAGATGATGGAGCTCCTTCTACGGCGGCTGCAGCCCAGGTTGAGGCCTCGGGAAACGTTGAGCTCGACCTCAGTCTTGAGACCCTGAGCCGGGATCTAGTCCATGTGATCTACCAGACACAAGCTAGGATGGGTTGGGAGAACCTCCCTGATATAGTTCTAGTTGGACACAGTCTAGGCGGTGCGGTGATTACAGATGTCGCGAAGAGAGGAGAGCTGGGTCAGAAGCTATTGGCATACGCGGTGTTCGACGTAGTTGAAGGTACTCTCGTCTTGTTGGTTTATGTCTATCTGATACTGACATCCCCATTTGACAGGATCTGCAATGGATGCTCTCCAGAGCATGGAGAAATATCTTTCGACTCGTCCGACCCGATTCCCATCCCTGCTATCTGGAATTGAATGGCAGTACGTGTCCATCTCGACTGTCATTTCTTTACATTATCGCTAACATTACAAGTACTCGCTCTCGCACAATCCGGAACACCACTTCCGCTCGCGCCTCGGTTCCCTCCCTCTTATACGAAGAAAGCGAGCCTAGCGACCCGTCCCGCCCTTGGGTTTGGCGCACTAACCTCTCCGCAACGAAACCTTTTTGGGAAAACTGGTTTGTTGGCTTGAGCAGAAAGTTTCTCGATGCAAGAGGTGGCAAGCTATTACTACTTGCTGGGACCGACAGATTGGATAAAGAGTTGATGATCGGACAGATGCAAGGTATGGGTTTCGAAAGTCCCTGTCAGCCATGTATAATAATTCGGTACCATGCTCACTACAATACCATAGGCAAATACCAACTCCAGGTCTTCCCCGAAGCAGGCCACTTCGTCCATGAGGATCAGCCTGCAAAGACTGCGCAGATCTTAGCGGATTTTTACCGACGAAACGACCGGAGTGCATTGGTGCTTCCGCCCAAGGTGGCGGATATGCAGGCATCAGCGGCGATGAAGAAGGGAACTGGTGCTCCTGGTGGCTCAACAGCGCACCAGAGGTAGTATTTCATGATTTGTCCCAATGCTTGAAATGAGATATGATATCCAATGAGAGGCTATTCATAGATGTAAAACACATGCTTTCGAGCAGTACATCTATAACGCTCTTTCTCTAATGCTATCACGTCTACTCCGTACGGTTGATGAGGTTAAGCTACTCGCATGTAGGGAAATAAATTAGAAAAAGTTTCATTCTCGAACGGGGTGAAAAGATCATTTAGGACAACTAGCAGGCTAGCCTCCAGTTCGGAGCTCTATGCCACCCCATTGCGACAAACGTTAAAGTGAAAAAAGGAAAAACAAAAGCTGCCGGGCACAGAAAAAAGGTTCTTGCCTCTCGCTCGATAAACAGAGAGAATCAGGTTTTCGAGATTCCGAACGCCACCGGGATCCCATCACAAGTAATCATCATGCGAGGATCGTGAAAAGGGATGTGATAAAACAAGGAGAAGTAAGGGTATCCTGAGAGAGAAAAAAGAAAGAGAGCGCATGACGCCAAGAAAAACGGACCTAGATGCCATTTTAAGGCAAATAGGCACCACCAGCAACCACCAGATTCATATTGGTGAACTTGACCCTATAGACAGGAGACTTCTTAGTCGGGAACGCGCTGATTTGGTCGGCGGTGACAACAACATCTTTTCCCTTCTTTTTCTTGGTCTGGCTTGTCGAGGGGTTTGCGGCTGCATCCAGTCTGGTTCCAGTGCCTGATTCATTGAGGATACGGCCACCCTGAGTGGTTTCCTGGGAACCAGCAACATCCCAGACTCGCACGGTTCCATCGGCTCCACCGGAGACCAACACTGTGGACTCCACACTCCAGCTGACAGACCAGATTCCACCCTTACCGTGGCCACGCATGCGCTTCAGCAGTCTACCAGGAGCTAGATCCCACAAGATGATGCAGCCCTGGTCGTCGGCGGATGCCAGAAGCTTTCCATCGCGGCTGCACTCCATCGCGGTGATACTACCAGTGTGGCCAGTAAACATGCGGACAGCATTACCAGTCGAGACAGCCCACATACGGACAGTGTGATCAGAGCTGGCGGTGAAAATGTATGCCGAGTTGGGGTGGAAGCAGACGACATCCACGTCCTGGTCATGACCGACAAAAATACGCTGCTGGCGGATTTGGTCACTCACCCACAAACGGGCGGTCCTATCAGATCCACCGGAGACAAAGTAGTGACCGAAGGGCCCCCAGCTTAGGTCCCAGACAGGGCGGTCGTGGCCTTTGTAGACGACCATACATTGCCAGCTATCAAGGGACCAAAGGCGAACTGTTTTGTCCATGGATGATGAAAGCAACCAGCGTGCATTGGTTGGAACCTTGTCATCCTCCGAAATGCCCTCGCGAGCAGTGGCGCAGGGCTGAAATGCAACAGCAGTGACGGGACCGGAATGACCGATAAGACGGCGCGAACTGGCAGGTGGTGAGTTATCAAACTCAGGGTCAGCAGCTTGAATGTTCGTGCCATCGAGGCTCCAAATCCGGATATACGACTGCTGGAATCCGACGGCAACAATCTGGCTGTCATCTGAAAAGTCCATGCAAGTGACGCTGTATATTTGTTAGTAAAGCTCTGTATTACGAAGATTGTCCAGATGAACATACCCATCATAAGTGTTGTGGAATGTGAACATGCACACACTAAGTCCAGGACCGACACCACCTGTGCGAGCCTTGATCTCGAACCGATCACGGTGTTCCATGACTTTCTTCACCTCAATTTGAACGTCACGAGCAGTGGACGGAGGGAAAGGAATATCTGCACGACTAGGTGCTTCGTCGTCATCTTCATTCTTAATCATTTGGTCGAACTCTTGAATGAGCGTGTTACGGCCAGCGACAGGAGGTTGTTTCGCATCTTCCTCGGCTAATTCAGCCCGCACATCCTCCTCTAGAAGCTGTTCCATAGGGAGTCTTCCGAGTTTCAGGCGAGGAAGTGTGCCGGCCATGGCCGGGTTGTCACCGGTGTAAGCCGAGCCGGGGTGGTGTCCCGGAATGCCTTCATCCTCAGCCGGGAAGGTCTGGTCTGCACTGATCTGGTTCAACATGGCAGCGAAACTGAATCGGTCATCTGCTGCTCGGTCCAAAGTCTTCACCGAGCAAAAGCTGCTGAGAATTGCGTTCATGACAGAACCCCCCTCCTTGTCCTTGCTCTCCAGGAACTGGAGAAGATTGGTGTAAGCAGGGTTGCTTAACACAACGCGGTATTTGTTGTTTCGATAAAGCTTAGCAACGGAGTTATCTTGCAGGTGCTCCGGTAAGCTGATAGGCTCGAAGTGGCGGACGTCATCGGTATGCTCGGGAAGGAACATGTTCTTGTTGGTTTCGAAAAATGACTTCGCATCCTGAGGATAGAAGGAAGTGACCATATTGAAAAAGGAATAGACGAACAGCGGCCATAGAACACGCCGAAGTTCAGGCTACAAGACAATTAGCATTGGCTTATCAAGTCACTCCTTGTCTGTCGCACCTTGTACAGATCAAGATTTTCCTCAACCCAATTCTTCAGTAAATCTAGTGATGCATTAGTTGCTATGTTGGGTCACCTGAATGGAATATCTAGCTCACCAAACCCTTGTCGAGTCTTGGGACGGGAATCTTCCCCCAGCTGAGGGAGCGGACGCCCATCAATCTCCTGGTTGGCAGATTCCATGCGCAACATTGCCTCTGTACGGCTGTAGCCCTTCTTGGCCAAATAATCAATAACCTAGAAAATACCGAAGGTTAGCGTACAATTCAAACCGAATGTATTTGAGCAGAAAAAAAAAGGCAAGATAAGCAAGCGGTGCAGGAGGAGGGCTTAGTGAATAAACACACTGCCAAATCACGTTCGCGTGCCTGCTCAGAAGTGAGGGCTTGTGAAGGCTTTGCGATGGGTGGACACGGCACATATTGTGCCGGAGTCATATCAGCCGCCACCGGCTCATGTCTTTTCTTGATCATCTGGGCCGGTAAGGTCGGTTGTGGGTACCGGCGAGGCTCGAAATCCTTGCCGTGAGTTTCCATAGCCAAGGCGGTTCTTGTGATGTTTTGCGAAAGCGGTGCGTTTGACGTGAAAGTGAAAGAAATTGATGGGTTGATGGGTTGATGGGTTCATAAAGACGGATAACCCGTATGAATGATAATGTGAAAGTGTGAAGAATGGTTGGGTGAGAACCGCATGAAGCAAATCATTGTTTGGCTCTGAGTTGTGATGCCTTGAGTCGCTAGTCACAGACCTTGAGCACCGCTCATGAGTTGCCACGCGTAATACCAGCAGGCCAATAATGCCCTTCGAAGTCTGTGAGATGAACTATATTGTCGGCGTTGCAGATAAGCCCGCGCGGTCCTCTGCCATGGACTTCTGTCATCATTCATAGGTTGTAACGACTGATGAACAGCGTAATTGAGGACTCATGGCATTTTCAAAATCATCGACGTTGATACGAAACGCCCCAGAGTCTCCGATTTGGATCCCTGACATCACTTTGATCCAGTGGAGTTGTGGCCAACTCAAGCTCCTCAAACTCGGCTGATCCCAAAACACACAGGATGGACACAACGTGCAAGGAATAATCATCGCAAAGGGACACAGGGACGGGAGGGAAACAAGACTTCTCAAACAATGCACAAATGAATCAGAAGGGTACCTACTATTTGGTTCAAATTCTGCTGTGACATAGCACCACTTGGTGGTGCACTAGGCCCTGGGGTGGGTGCGGAATGAACGGGGTTTCCAGGCAATGGCTGCTGGGAAGGCATCGCCATACCATTCCCATTGACACCTGGTCCCATACTGCCACTGCGTGGTCCAGGGCTTGGGGCTCCACCTTGTGCCGACATAGTTGTCGATTAATTAACGACAGCTTCGAGACAGATTCTCAGATTGGGGTGGAGGATGGAAACTGAGCTGGGTTGCGTGCAATCGCGGGCAATTTATGATGGTGTTGGGCGGTCAGCTATCGGTTTTTTGTCTAATGTATGTAGCAAACAAAGGTGTTCAACAATAGAATAATGGGTTTGATATCTTGAATTTGATAGTTGCTACCTCACCGCCTATTAAGACCTCCCCAACTTCCGACACGTGATTTCAACTAACAAGCTTCCTAAGCTCCATTCGTTCTACACTGGAAAAGCTGGTGGATTGATTCATACGCACCCAGCTATCTGTCCTTTTCCTTTATATCAACCCTGACTAGTCACAATGAGTGAAGACGCACCCCCGCAGGAGCTACCTAGCTATACCTCTGCCGATCGCATTCGACAGCTGAATGAGATGGATAAAGTACTACGAACATATAATTTTTGCAGGAACCCTTTGCTGACTCTTCTTTTCTTTGCAAGGATGTCACCAAACTTCTTCATTCTGCTGGTCTCGCGATCCAAGCCTTGACCAATGCCAAACCAGGCCCCTCTTCTGTTGCACCAGATGGATCACTTGACTCGCACAAAACGCGATTCAAAGAAGCAAGTGCAAAATACTTCGCACTTCTCTCCTCAGCCGATGTATCCCTCCGCCGCCAGATCTACTCCTTAGAGGAATCATCCCTCGTAGGGCCCGAGAGGGCCTCGCGCGCAGGGGACGTAAAGGCTGGAGCCAGAAACGAAGGAGCCGCGGGAGCTAAATCGCGAGCTCCAAACTCACTGGATATAAGTCGGCTCAATAGCCGGAAGGATACAGTTGGAAAAGATAAGGAGGCTGAATTGTGGGCGGCCGCTCGTCAATTCGTTGAGCAGATACAGAAGCCTTCCGAGACAAGCAAGAATTTCAGGTCAGCGAATGAACTAGATGATATGCAGGTGGATTGAGCGATGAATTATCGATTCATTCGGTGCGATTGGTTGAGTTTGCTTCATATGTTCATGATACCCCGGGCTATCTCCTGCCACTGGCGTTTGAGATTACGAATACAATGAGTGCCATTGGAGAAGATACATACATTTACACCGTACTAAGTACATATGTAATCAACGCTAAGAACAAAGTGTTTATGGATCAGTGTTCGAGCATGTTCACAGAACTACGCTATGCAAAAAGAGATGAAACGGCAGGTATAGTTCATCGGTCTAGCAGAGTAAGGAAAATATTACTTCTGCATGGACATGATCATTTCCCGCTGGGTTTCCCGGTCCCTATTCGCATCGGACAATGGGCCCAAGCCTAGGTTAATGTTAGCATATTGCAACGGCGGTGATACTTTGTGCATCCACTTACTTCGCAGCTCGCCAACGACATCCTTTGCCTTACCGAAGTAAACCTCCTCTGTGATATGAAAGTCTAGGTCAGTCCAAAATCCTCAAGTCGTTAAACGGTGACGAGAGAAATAAACGTACGTAGCAGATTCCGCATCTTCAGCTCCATATCCTCCACCAGCCTGCCCACATTGGCGACATGGCTAGCATCAGACTCTACAGGCAGATCAACTTCCACCTGGCGAGTCATGTTGCCGCTGAGGTCCATGTCACCAAGAGCCTCAGTTTTGTTGGCCAGGTGGAGGATAACAGTACTAGTGAGTTTGTAATGGGACATGCGAGCGCGGTCGGTGGCCTCAAAAACGTGAATGCTGTCCCATTCGCCGGAGCTCTGGGAACCCGGGGTGACACCTAATCAAAAGGAACAGTTAGCCACGATCTAAGATATAGGAAGTTATCCGCAATATGTCCATAACGCACCCTTCTTCAGTAGAATCACGCCGGCAAATCCATCGTCCAAATCCCAGAAATAAACACTCCCTACGCCTCCCTCATAGTACAGCTCGCGGTAAACATCGAACGACTCGTTGGCGGCAACCTCTAGCTTGCGCACTCGCTCACTGGGCACGGTGCCATCCTCAAGTGGAGGATCAAATTCATTGCTCCATGGTGACCGGTAGCTATCGCCGTCGCGGTTGTAGTCGCAGAGCAGATAGTCGCGGTTGCTCTGCGGGCAGCGGCGAATCTCCAGGGGCTGGTCAACGGAGGAGAGGAGATCTTCGGTGAGCTCGGGGACGATTGAGGTGATGGCTTGCAAGTTGGTCTTGGTGTCCCGTGGGTTCAGGCGCCGAAGGAGGTCGCTGCAGAAGGGGTGGTCAGCTCACTTGTCTCCGACTACACGGGGCGGGGTTGAGTCGGGGTGTGGGATTGTCATGGCGGGGTATCATAGTTGAGTTAAAAAAGGGTCTATATGGCCATATTAATTGCGAGAGAGATTACTCACAGCGCGCTGTCAAATTGTGCATCAGCCATGGTTGCGAAGGTTGGTTGTATATCTGTTGCTCAACAGATGGCGGTGTTGATCTTGGGCGGATGAAGTGCGTGTGCATTTTAGGCTGCTTGCGTGGCATTACCCGACATCTATACCAATCGTAATACATCCACTTCTATTTGCATCCATAAAAAGACAAGAAAAAGTTAGACGAACGTAGAGCTAGTGATATCTGTATTCAAGCTTTGTTTTATTTGAGCATATTTAATTCTTCGAATACCGGCAAAATCTTACAAGGAAAAGAAAGATAGGCCATTGTCGGATTGTTGGATCTTCGGAGTTTTTAAAAGAAATTGAGAAAATCATTATCCTCGGATGTATTCAATGTGCTTTTCTGGAGGATATAGCTATTCTAGGCCCATCATTCGACTGTGAGTCTGTAATATCTTGAAGATCTTCGACAGCCGTGTCTAGAATGCAGGGAGTATAAAAGAGAATCAACAAGTTGATGATGTGACTAAAAACCTCTCTTAAGTAGAACCAGAAGAGAGGCTCATCTCATCCTGCCACCACCTCGCAAAGATATTCAACCTCTCCGTCCTTACCTTCGCCATCTCTCTCCCCGTGGCAGTCTTCATCATCCCCTCCAGCTTAACCAACTTGTCCCCAAAATGCTCAATGGAATTATCCATCTCCCATTTCCCATCAACACAGTACTTCTGCCCTACAGCCCCAAGGAAAGTAAAACACCTGCCAATTCCAACCGCCCCGATTGCATCAAGTCGATCGGCGTCTTGGACAACCCCAAGCTCGACAAACCCATCTTCATCAATCATCCTTCGGATCAACGCCGGATCTTTGCATTCAGTCGTATAAGAAACATGTGATACGACGGTCTGCACCCGGGATGCGAGTTCTGGTGTCGCACCCCGCGCAAGGAGCGCGCACTGCACCATCGTCGTTGGGTCGAGTTCTTGACTTCCAGGAGCTGCGTCCATTTTGGATAGGTACTTTCTGTCACCGATGTCATGCAACAGTGCTGCGAGCTTGACGACTGCCCCGTTGTATTGCGTTGTCGGGTGCAGTGTCCGCTCTGCTTCCAGGATCTTGTTGGCAAGCGCTCCCACTCTGTGAACGTGTGCTGGGTTATGCGATGGGTCATGGCCTGACATGCAGTCAGTCACGAAAGCGGACATTTCGTTGAAGAGCGTTTGGAATTCTTCACTGGTATCATCCATTGTTGATGATTTTGATCCGGTTGTTGTGGGGTTGGCTATTTTTGGTTGGTTCGGACTGAATGGTACCCAAGACCTATGCCAACGGTGCAAATTTGATTTTATTACCGGGATGACTATTGGTTCTTATTTTCCTAGGCAATAGCACTATCTTTTGAAGAAAGTACCAAATTATCCCCGCAGTAAACAAATTTGGCGGTGAATGACACTCATCTCGTTTTATATACACCGTGTTTAGTGCAAACCATACAAACAAAACATGATCACCTGACTACGCGACGCGACGCCAGATGATTGCACATACGGAGTGCAAGTGCAATGCCTTTCAACTATCCACGCGATGTCGACAGATTCCGAGTCAGATTACTTTGATGATGATGACTTCGTAGTCCCTGGAACCCCTGATGAGCCCTCCCGTCCCGCAAAGCGGCGCCGCATTCGAAATCGCGGGGAAGAGCGCGAAGATCAAGATGACGATTCCTCAATCGACTCGTTCTTTGATATGGGCGATGACGAGTTACCCCCTGGGCGCCGAGAATCACCTCATCAGGATCGCTCCAAAATTAAGAGCTGTGTACTGAAGCAACCCAGTGTTCAAAATGACATGTTTGTCACGCAACTCACGCAACCTTCCTCAAGTCCGGAACGAATACGGGGCGCACGGTGGCAGAAGCCTACAGTGAGGCCCCCTCCGCCAAAATTTGAAACTAGAAGACAAGATGGTAGTGGTGGACAGGAGAATCATCCCCATGATGATGAAGAGCTGCTGGCCGCTCTCGCAGCTTCCTTAGATTCATTTGAGGAGGAGAAAACAACCAGAGCGGTATACCAACCCTCGAGTTTGTCAAGCAATACTGTTTCGAAAAAGATTGTCCTGCCAGAAAAGACAGATACGCATCTATCGGCGGATGTGCTGTTTGAGCTGGAGGACATACCGGAAGGTGCATTCGATTCTTCGCCATCATTGTCACCAGTAGCGCGATCAGCCCAGCCTGCAGGTCCACAATTTAGTCAATCCCGAGGCCCAATTAGAGGACCTCATCTCAGACAGACTACATTATTCGGTATGGCCACTTCAAACCCTGAGGCCTCGGAACCGCGCCAACAAGATTGGGGCCCGTCAGAGAAGACTGAACCACCGACCCAACACAAACTTGTCAAAGATGCTTTGGATACATGGGTCTACCCTACGAACTTGGGCAAAACCAGAGACTACCAATTCAACATCACTCAGGCAGGCCTGTTTCATAATTTACTCGTGGCCTTGCCAACAGGATTGGGAAAAACATTCATAGCGGCTACAATTATGCTCAACTGGTTTCGCTGGACGAAAGATTCGCAAATTATTTTTGTAGCACCAACGAAACCCTTGGTTTCGCAGCAGGTATCGGCCTGTTTGGATATTGCCGGAATTCCACGCTCGGAGTCGACCATGCTCACGGGAGGGGCATCACCGGGTATTCGCGCCGAAGAGTGGAAATCAAAGCGGGTGTTTTTCATGACACCCCAAACACTGATCAATGACCTAAAGACCGGAATCGCCGATCCCAAGCGAATTGTGTTGTTAGTCGTCGATGAAGCTCATCGCGCGACTGGTGCGTATGCATATGTGGAGGTAGTCAAATTCCTTCGGCGCTTCAACAACAGTTTCCGCGTGCTCGCACTCACAGCAACGCCGGGATCAACAGTCGAATCGGTACAGTCGGTTATTGACGGCCTGGACATAGCACGTGTCGAAATCCGTACAGAGAACTCGATCGACATTCGCGACTATGTTCACGCTCGTAATATCGAAATTGAAACATTTGAGAATTCAGATGAAATGATTTTCTGTATGGATCTCCTATCTGTGGCCCTGCAGCCCTTGCTTGACCAACTCCGGACTCTCAATGCCTACTGGGGACGTGACCCTTTGGGGCTGACTGCGTACGGTCTTACAGTGGCGAGGCAACAATGGATGCAGTCTGACGCTGGCCGGAATGCCAATTTCGGCTTGAAAGGCAAAGTCAACTCCATTTTCACTGTTCTTGCTAGCTTGGCCCACGGTATCGATCTCCTCAAGTACCATGGCATCGTGCCATTCTATCGCAATGTCATCCATTTCAAATCAAGCTCCGAGGGACAGAAAGGCGGAGGTGGTAAATACCAAAAGCAAGTTGTACAACATGATAGTTTCAAGAAACTACTCAGCCATCTTGAACCATGGAGTAAGAATCCAGAGTTCATTGGGCATCCGAAATTAGAATATCTCAAGTCAGTGATTTTGAATCACTTCATGGACAGGGGTGAAGGGAAAGAGTTGCCTGACGGCACTAGTCAGCCCACGACTCGTGTCATGATCTTTGTGCATTTCCGTGACAGTGCTGAAGAGGTCACGAGAGTGCTCAAAAGATATGAGCCTATGATTCGTCCTCATGTTTTCGTGGGTCAATCAAGCGCCAAAGGCTCTGAAGGTATGGACCAGAAGACACAACTCAGAACCATCGAGGATTTCAAGAAGGGTACATATAACACAATCGTTGCTACCTCCATCGGCGAGGAAGGATTGGATATTGGAGAGGTCGATCTGATCGTGTGTTATGACTCGTCGGCGTCGCCAATTCGTATGCTGCAGCGCATGGGTCGAACTGGCCGTAAGCGGGCCGGTAACATTACTCTGCTATTGATGAAAGGCAAAGAAGAAGACTCCTATCTCAAGGCCAAAGATAACTACGAGAGGATGCAGCAAATGATTGCCAGTGGCTCCAGGTTCAAGTTTCACGACGATCGTTCTGCACGCATCTTACCCGCGGGCATTCGTCCAGTTCCCGATAAACGACATATCGATATACCCCAAGAGAACTCGCAACAAGAACTGCTGGAACCGAAACGTAAAGGGCGAGCACCGAAGCGACCTGCCAAGGTGTTCCACATGCCCGATGATGTGGAGACAGGGTTCACTCGAGCCTCGAATTTGGCTGGCGACAAACCCCAGAAGAAGAAGGCCACTGTAACCAAAAAGGCAGCCACCCCCAAAAAGAGACCCCGGGCCCCCACACCCGAGCCTGTAGATGTTCCGTCGCTGGAGGACGTTGTTCTTAGCACGAGTGAGCAAAATGATCTTGAGCATCATTATCAAAACATCGGTGCTACTTCTCCGCAATTCATCCGATTCCCTCGCAACGACGCCTTTCCACGTTTGCAACGCATTGAAAGACCCACAAAGGATGTGAAGCATGGGTCTCTCACGCGACGCATGGTAAAAGCCTTACAGAAGATGCACGAGGCTGGCCCTGATTGTGATCGTCGATTCAAAGAGATTTTGGCCCGCGAACCGCCTTCGCCAGACGAATCCAGTCAGACGCTTCAGAGGGATTCAGCCAAGAAGCCTGGGCGGAACCCAAACCCTTTGAAAACACCGTCTAAAAATACTGCTCAACGAGCTTCCATCAAGGCCACTCTCACCCCCGCTGGCGGGGAGGTTGTTTCTTTGCTGTCTCCAGATCGTGAACACAATCAGAAGAACGACCCCTTTACCTTCATGGATGATGACGATGGCTCGGATTTTGAGTTGATGGATGCCAGTCTTTTGTTTAGTAGTGGGTCTAAATCGAAGAGTCGGAGACAGAACAGACCAATTATTGAAGATAGTGACGAGTGATGAAATAGAGGCACGCGTTGATGTTATCTGGATATAGAAAGATCCTTGCCTCATTCGAACGTAGGAATGATATTGGATACAGTTGCATTCCCATAACTAGACCTACATGGGTACGTACAATACTGAACTTTATCGTCTTCATTTTGTTCGTCACAGAAAAAGGAACGAAAAGGATGGTAACTTGGAATAGATTGTATTTTTTTGGGGCTTCGCAGCTATCTGTTTCTTGGTGATTGTATTCCATTCTAGCTTAGGGCTTGTTGAAAGAGTGCATACCACTCCCGCTGCCTTCAAAAAAAAAAAAAAAAAAAAGACCAACCTGGCTGTAAATCATCACCGAGTCTCCCGTCTATCAGAACATAAGAACATTCGGGGTTGGGGTCTGGGTCATTGGGTATTTGTGTGTTTGTGAATGATATCAAACGTGTAGTGTCAATCCGAGAGCAAAGAAATCAGAAAGCCGAAAACAACCCACCTCGAGAGAAAGATAGATAATATGGGTTTATGCAAGTGTTTAGTATGTTGAAAGCCAACGCGAACGAAAACCGAAAAAGGAGAAAGGACGAAAGAAGAAGCACCAGACTCCAGTTGCGATCAGCGACGAGGCGCGAGCACAACTTCTAAATCAATGTAAAGAGTGGAGAGCAAAGGAAAACCAGACAAAAAAGAGTCAATTAGACGCGGTCACGAGCAAAGTCAAGGACCTCGCAATCATCCTCAAAGAAACCGTCGTCGGCTTTCAGCGGAGCGGAGTGTCTCTTCTTGCGGCGGGTGGTGATGACAACTTCCTCCACGTTGCCGGTGCTGTTTCCAAGTGTGATGAGGTTTTCTATATCTCCGCCAGCCCCAAGCGAGTGTCCATGGATGACAGCGTTTTCATCTTCGTCATCGCCGTGGTCATCGCTGGAGCTGTTGAATGACCTCAAGTGCACTTTGATCAGCGGTATATCATTGCCAAAGACCCATTGTCCACTCGGCTCACTTGCATCGCTGCCTGAGGAGAAGACACTCAAACTGACACGCTGGTCCGTGTGGAACGGCTGGTATGGGGTGTTTGTCTCGATCTCAGCCTGCGAGAGAGGCTGGCAAAACGATCTCGCAGCACTAGATGGTTGATAGCTGACCGAAGGTAGAACAATAGAGGCATGAACTACTACTTCTGGATCAAAGGTAGACAAAGGAGCCGGTCCACAAGGACCCTGAAGATTATCAGGCAGTTTGACCTGGGACTCCTTACCGCCAACAATAGAGTGAGGCTGCCTGCTCTTGTGGCCGGGTACAGTAGCACGCTTGAGGCGATACATCTTGAAGTACCCGGCATCCAGAACACCCAAGAATATAAGGCCCTTGTTGCAAATCCACGTCACCCGAGAAGGTGCAGGATCTCGAGCTAGCCCCGGCAAGTGGAGACGATTCTCTCCGGCATGGCGCAGAGTATTGACAGTACCCGTTGCGGCGCCCATTGACTTGCTTAGGCCTGCGGCGACAACCTTCCCGCTCTTCACACTGGCAGCAGAAGGTAATGCAAATCCACTCATATTGGGAAATGCAGCGCCCGTGGACGGGACACGACCACGGACAGCGGAGAAGAATGGCTGCGTTTTACCGCCAACTAACTTCATGGCCGCTGACAATGGGTTACTACCGGAAGCTTGACTGGTCATCTCATCTGCCATGGGATCGGTAGCCGGTGGCTTATTTGCAGTAGACTTTGCACGGCGGAATGGGGGCCACTGAAATGCGCTTCGGGGTAGATCGAAAACGTGGACGGTGCCTTTACGTGTAATTACGGCCAATCTATCACCCACCGGTGCCGTCCAAATCACATCAACGATACTCGATGTAGTCAACCGTGCGTATCTAGCAATCTGGCGCACATTGGGATTCTGTCCCGTCTGGTCATCAGCCATAAAAGCCATGGACCGGCAGTGCTTGAGTTGCATGAGATCCCACACGTATTGCACATCGCCTTTCTTACTCGCTGTGAACAACATCAAGCCGTTCGGAGAAAGAGACAAGAAGCTGCAACCATTAGGAACCTGAAATGTCGACACTGGGTGGATAAATGCATTTCGGATATCTGTGCCGTCTTCGAATCGTCTTAGGTCGATTATGGATACGGTGTCAGGCTCTGTTGCTGATGTTTGTGTATCCTGAGCATGGGTTGGAGGGAATAATCCATACCCCTGTGTCTGGAGGTCCAATCCCTGAGGTGGCCGACGTGGAGAGCTGCCGGATGGTTGCTGGGTGTTCCAATAATTGTTCCAGGCCTGCATTCCCTGATCACCCATCCAGCGGGCACCTCTGACGAGTTCTTGGGCAACGCCTCTGGCCATTTTGTCGAAGAAACTTTCCCCTTCTCCTACATCTGTCGCACACGACACCGAAGGGACAGCAGGAGGACTGCGAGTTTCAATGCCCGGAACCTTGCCGATGATTAAACTCGAAGGTACAGTGCCCTGGATCGATCCTCTGTAGGCCGAGGGTGGGGGAGCGAATGCAAGCCACCTTCCTTGTACAGCTAAGATGGGCCTTTCCAGGGTAGAGAAACCATGGGGAGAGTCGGTGCGAGTCCCCTCTGGATCAGTTGTAGAACTTGAAGAGGTTGAGTAACGACGGGTTTCTTTGGATTGAACTCCAGTCCATGTCTTACCCAGGCACTGGTATGCAGTTGTTTCCGGGGATAGGATATGTCTATAAACATAAACTTCCCCGCTGACGCCGGATGCCAAGATAATGTAAGCACCAGTTGTGAAGATCTTTAATTTTCCCACAGGCGAGGGTGCAAAGGATGGGAGGCCGGGAAGATTTTCTAGGCATGGCACAGGCTTACTTGCAAACAGGGTGCAGACATGTTCGCTAGTCCGGAAAGAGTAAATCTCAACTCGGGTTTGGTAGAACTGGATGTCGTCTCGCGCGCACTTGTCGTAAGAGTGACCGCGAATAGTCGAAGGGGGAATTTCATTTGCGTCCGATGTTGCAGACGAGACTCGACCTTCCTCATCATGCGGCGGCAACGGCCCATGAACAATGACAGCCACATGCGGCCGAGAGGATGCAAAGGGATCACTAGACGGGTAGCCAGGCAAGAGTTTGGCCTCAATTACACGGCCATTTAATCCAGTGATCTGCCCCACGAGCCTAGTCTGGCGATCTTCGATGGCGAGGATCTCCACGGCACCATCGATCCCAACCAGTAAGACGTTCATTCCTGTCCGCGAGCCTTTAGATGACAAGCTAGGCAGTGTATCAAAGCCACAGAATGAATAGTTTCCCTCGGCGGGGGACCGATTCTGAGTTGGAATAATCTCAATGTCCGGTGCTCCGAAGAAATGTGCCTGAGGAAGATGTGGGGGAGGCGCGTGATTGCTCATTGGGCTCCCGTAAGAGTGACTCTTTCTCCTGTCTATAGACTGTTGCCTCGAGTGTAGACCACTTCGATAGGCATTACCATAGCTAGATGGTAAAGTTCGAGTCTGAGGAGATGCCGAGGAAGGATGGCTGAAGCCACTCCTTTCTTGAATTGTTGGAAAGTTCAAGGGTGATGTACTAGGTAGTGATGCACTTGGTATATCCCCATCCATAAGATCGGTGGGGGGGCTCTTTCCATAAGGTACCGATTGCGCCCACGTATCGGTGCGGCTAGTGAGATCGTCACCTGCTGGCTCATCGAGGGAACCGAGGACATCCAGAACAGGCGACGTGATAGATGGGTTTACATGACGTTCAATAAAGGGTTCAGGGTCTGGGCAGGAGAGAGGCTCCTCTGGTAGTGGGTCATATGGTTGGATGCTATCCGTGAAATCTGGTGTTAATGGCACTCATTCATCAGAAAAACAGGCAATCACCGGTGGACACATACATATCATCCGGTGGGGTTTCAGTTGCAGCCCTGGCCACCTTGTTCTTCTTGCCCTTCTTCTTTTTGCCTTTCGCACTTGGTTCATGCTCTGATATAGTCCGATGCTGGTCCGGGGCGAATGGGCTATCGTCTTCGGGCAAACGGCTGTGCTGGCGGATGATATCGTCAGGTGCCGCCGGGAGCATTCAAATAGATGATGCCTCAGTGAGAGGCGATAAAGAAGCAACAGAACGAAGCCGCTCTCAGTACCTTATTTGTGGTCTGAGAACGGATATGCAGGATCCTTCTGTTCAAGATCCTAACTGGGAACCGGGAGCTTGGGAGGTATGACTAAAGAGGAGGATAACTTTCATAGAATCAATCAAGTGATCAAACATCACAACGGCCTAAAGAGACTGGGGACGCGTACCTGTTTTGACAGTATCCTTAAAAATAAGGGAGTTGTGGTGAACGTAGACACCACTAACAGCGTATCTAGAGCGGAGATCACCCTAGACACGCGGGGAAGCTTTGCTAAATAAGTATAACACAGCAACAGCTTGAGATAGTTCAAGCTGGTGCAGAAAAATGTAATCCAAAATGACTTGCATACACAAGTTCCAAGGTCGAAGTCCGAAGTTGAGTCAAGGAAGAAGGATGATGTTATGGTTCGCGATAAGAAGAAGAGGGGGGGAGCTGACCCCAGGTCACCAGTCAGGTACGGGGCTATTAGGGTGTAATAGGGGGGCCTGAGTCAGAGCACGAAATAACCCTCTGACAGTGTCATTCCTAATGAAAGTATGATCGGATTCTCGGTCTTTACTCTCCTTTGTCTGTCTTTGTTTCTATCACCAATCTTGACTATGACTGACTATACAATGCACCTTGTGGCCTACACGAACAAGACGCATATGAGGGGAAACTTGTCAAACTATGCAAACACCGATAAGGCTCTTAGTCATCTCTTGCGTCATGGATTGCTTGCTGCAAACGTCCCCTTGCTTTGACATGGTACTGCATGGTTGAAGTCAACAGCCGAGTCCATCCGTGTCCTTGCTGGTCATTCTTGACAATTCCTTGTTTGTTTATTCAATAAAGTTCGCCTGTTGAAGGAGTGGCTGGTGTCATCGTTGGCTCCAGCCAGAGGTCACAGGGCATTTGCGGCATGGCCAAAGATGACGACTTGCCTGGGCTTTGACAGCAAATGCCGTTTGAGCTAGGAAATTTGAGCTCTTTCGTTAGGGCTACGTGGTAATTCGGTACATATATATTTACATATATATGGCCGCTTTATCCTCCACTATTCTTGCGGGCCATGTTAAGTATATCCAGACTGAAAGTGTTTGTAAAACGGTTAATGTAATAAAATTAATTAACTCGAGACGTGTTTTGATAGCCACTGAGCTTTGAAATAGTTGATGGTACAGAATGTTATCACAGAGGGTTGCCCTCTCTCCTGATATGATATCCAGGGTCGCTTAGGTCTTCTTCTTATTGGCCGCGGCCTTAGCCTTGGCTGCCTTCTTCTTGTTGCTATTGATCATGACAATTCCGATAAAGGTGCCTACCACAGCAGAAGCCAAGAGTGTTAGGATGACGGGGATGCGGATGGCCCAAACACGAGGCGGGAAGATGTCGTGGAGCGGGTGGCCGGGGTCGACGAAGGGCTGTGGAACAAAAATGAGTATAGAAAAGCAAATATTATCATAAATTAGCATACCATCAACAGGGTCCACGCGGTGTAGTAGAGAAAGATCGCAGTCGCGACCAGAAGCATGACGGATCCCACGAGTTGGCCCAGCTAAAGCACAGTCAGTGGGGTATTTCCATTGGATAAGACTAGATAATTTACCATTCTGATAAAGAGCGGCGCTGTTAAAAGAAAAGAAATATGAAGGAACGTGGATGAATCCTGGGCTGGACAGAACTACCAGGAATCTCAGGAGCTCCCGTTATTCGAAGTTGGCCTCTGGTCACGTGCACCGCGCTAGAGCTTTCTCCTGCTGCGTCCTTGAATCATCTTGTAACCTCAGTCCGGCTGAGATTCACAACCACTGTTCCTCCGGTGTACATCAAACTTTCTAGCTACCCCGGAGGCCTCTCTCCTCGTTGAAGATGTCCGATTTGGATGTTCTCCAGTCTGCTGTGCGCGTGCCCACGCCTCCACCTGGCGCGTCGTACTCGCCAGCCGCAGCCTCTCGAAAACGCTCACCTCCATCTCGTTCCCCTCCTCCAAATCGTCGCCGATCCCCTCCCGGTGATTCCCTTCAAGATGGTTCCGACGTTCTTAAAGCCGATGCAGAATATGCCGACGACAGAGAACGGCAACTCACTGAACGTGTTCGCGAACATGAGAAGCGCGAAGCAGCGCGCAAGCCGATGACCGAGGAACAAAAGCAGGCTTCAGCAAAGGCAGAGTACGAAAAGCTGCTCACCATGCGATCTGGTGGCACTTACATCCCTCCGGCCCGGCTCCGTGCGTTACAGGCGCAAATTACGGATAAAACGAGCAAGGAATATCAGCGCATGGCATGGGAAGCCTTGAAGAAGTCGATCAATGGTCTTATCAACAAAATTAACGTTTCCAACATCAAGTTCATTGTTCCAGAGCTATTTGCGGAAAATCTTGTAAGAGGCCGAGGATTATTCTGTCGGTCGATCATGAAGGCGCAGGCGGCCAGTTTGCCCTTCACTCCAATTTACGCAGCGATGGCATCTATCGTCAACACCAAGCTTCCGCAGGTTGGCGATTTGTTGCTTGCCCGATTGATTGTTCAATTCCGCAAGGCCTTCAAGCGAAATGACAAAGCAGTCTGCATTTCCTCTACGACTTTCATCGCGCACCTCTGCAATCAACAAGTTGCCCACGAGATGTTAGCAGCTCAGATCCTGTTGCTTCTTTTGCATAAGCCAACGGACGACAGCGTGGAGATTGCTGTGGGTCTCACTCGTGAAGTCGGTCAGCATCTGGAGGAAATGAACGCTCCTATCGCACTTGCCGTATTCGACCAATTCCGAAACATTTTACACGAGGCCGATATTGATAAGCGTGTGCAATATATGATCGAAGTGCTCTTTCAGGTGCGCAAGGATCGGTACAAGGACAACCCAGCAATCAAGGAGGAGTTGGACCTAGTGGAAGAGGAAGATCAGATCACACACCGTGCCGGCTTGGATGACGAGCTGGAAACACAAGACACTCTCAACATCTTCAAGTACGATACGGAGTGGGAGGAACACGAGGAGGCCTATAAGAAATTGAAGGCCGAGATTCTGGGCGAGGATAGTGACGAGGAAAATGAGGACAGGTCAGATGAGAGCGAAGAAGAAGAATCCGATACGGAAGAAGTACAGATGGATATTAAGGATCAGAGTAATACTGATCTAGTCAACCTTCGACGAACAATCTACCTCACAATCATGTCCAGCATTGATTTCGAAGAATGTTGCCACAAGCTGATGAAGATCAACCTGCCGGCCGGGTTGGAGCATGAACTTCCATCCATGATCATTGAATGTTGTTCTCAGGAACGGACATACTCCAAGTTCTATGGCCTGATCGGAGAACGATTCGCCAAGATCAACCGACTTTGGTCAGATCTGTTTGAGGCGGCCTTTGCCAAGTACTACGATACCATCCATCGTTATGAAACAAACAAACTACGCAACATTGCCCAGTTCTTCGGCCACCTCATCAGCAACGATGCGATTGGCTGGCATGTCTTATCTGTGGTTCATCTTAACGAAGAGGAGACCACATCCAGCAGCCGTATCTTTATCAAAATCCTATTCCAAAACCTCGCCGAGAACCTTGGTCTGCCTGGACTTCAGGCCCGCTTTAGGGATGATATTTTGCGGCCGAGCTTTGAGGGTCTCTTCCCGACGGACAACCCACGTCACACTAGGTTCTCTGTCAACTACTTCACTAGTATCGGTATGGGTGTATTGACAGAGGACATGCGTGAGAACCTGAAAACCATTCCCCGTCCTACCGTGCCCGCTTTGCCTACGCGAGCCGCCTCTCGAAGCCCCTCGCACACCCCATCTGATCGATCTCGTTCATCTCGTTCGTCTCGTTCGATGTGCTCAACGTGCACTGGATCTCCTCACTCCCGCCGTTCCAGGTCACCTTCGTACTCCCGCTCTCCTTCTAGGGACCGCGGCCGTTCCTATTCTCGTTCCCTCACTCCCTCTTCCCGGGGTCACAGCTACACACCTTCACGCTCTCGGTCCCCAGTACATCGCCGTCGTGACGCATCAGACAGTCGGTCCCCTGTCCGTCACCGCCGTCGTGACGCATCAGACAGTCGGTCCCGGGCCCCCGCAGGACGATCCCGATCCCGATCCATTTCCCGTACAGCGGCTAAGCGTAGTCGAGCACGCTCCCGCTCCTACTCGCGAAGCCCAAGTCGCAGTCCCTATCGATCTCGTCGCTCGGTTACTCGGTCTGTCACACCGCCGCGCCGAGGCCAAAGCCCTCCTAGCCGGAGAAATCGCAGCTACTCCAGATCAGTTTCCCGGTCTGCCAACACCCGTACCTCTTCGTGAGCCGGTTTCCCGAGGTTCAAACCAAGATTCGTCCGAATCCGTGTCACCCTTCATATCATTTTCATTGTAGATCTTTTCACTAGACCAAAACGAGTCAGCCTAGTGGGGGTCTACGATCAAGTTTCATTGCGATGGCTCAGGGTCGTGGAAGAGTAATCCACGAAAGGCCTATTTCTCAATATGTAATAGAGAGCCTTTAAACAAGAAATTCCAAATTAGCTTCTCGGCATTTTCCCACAGAATAGGTCACTAATTCGGTTTTCTATATCGTGTCGTAAATCAAACTGCCCGAGCGCATCAATATTCCACCTTGCAGGAATTGCCGGATTTTGCTAAAACGCATGCACCCCCGCATAGCTTCGATCCCCCATTAGGAACCCAAAAACTATGTCAAAAATGGTTCGAGTCTGAAAGGAAACCAGTCGCCTATGATAATGTGTAATGAAAGAAGGGTTAACAATCGTATCAAAGAACTGGACAAGGGCCTGGCAAGAGGGTAGGGCTAGGACCAAGGTCTGGTAGGTTGAGTTCTGATGCTAAAGATGAGTTTATCGAACAATGCTAGCGAGAAGATCATATGGCTATAGTATGAAGCCAGGGTTTCTGTAGAGATTATGTTTAGAGAAACCCCAAGATAAACTGCGGTGTAGTGACTTTCTAGGGCTGGAAGGTTCCAATCTTCACAAGGCAAATTTCAATACTTCACGGTGTGTTCCTTGAGAGGTCATCTCTGCCCTAGTTTTTCTCCCCTTCCTGTCTTGATTTTCAGCGCGGTAATAGAACCCCTAGATTCCAATACGAGAGATTGCCCTACCCATATCGAACTAAACTAGCTCTACGCCTTTCTAAAAGATCTTCCACCTTTACTGTAAGGATGTTTATTGGGTATATATTTTTCGTAGAACACTTTACTATTATTGGCGAAATATCACGCCAAATTCCTGAATCACCTACGTTTTTGATATCAACTTAGCTTATTATTGATCAATTTAGTCGAAAAGCCAAAAGAAAAAAGTAAGTTCAACTATAGAAATGTCTGTCGAGAGCTTTGTTACTGAAACTACCACTCCGAATCATCGCTCTGGATCGGTTCTTCGTGCTGGACCGGTTCCTCTCCTCGGGCCTTATCGGCCCAAGCCTCGAGCTTCAGAGGGCTTCTGGTGCAATAAATCAGCACACTCCTGGTGGCCATCGTGTCTTCCAGCGCACTGTGTCCATTTTTGCCTCTCTGGATCTTGTAACCAATCAACTCATTGGCCAAGGTTTTGAGGCTCCAAGTCCGGCGGAAAGGTTTTGCAAGCGGTTTATACACCGCATCGGCAGTGAGAATCGCAGTGTCGATGACTGTGGAGTGTATAATGCCCAGGACGTTCAGGTCATCATGGAGGGCGTGACCAACGAGAATAGTCCTGCTATCCATATGCTCAAAAAGCATGGCCCGAGCTGCCTTCCAACCTTTAATTGCAACCCCCTTCCTGACCGCAGCCTTCATGTCAGCACATGTTACACCACTCCATCTGGTATGCCAGTTTCGAACAGTGTTGGTGGGGTGGACGAAATGGTTGACGAGAACCTCTCCTGTGAGGAGATCCACCACTACCAGAAAGGCAAGCTCACGGCGATTGCCCATAACACCGACCATCTCACAGTCAATGGCAATGGCCTTTCGACTGGTTTGGCTTGGGTTTGATGGGGGAGTCGTCATAAATTCATTGTATCTGATCACGCCCCCGGCGGGGCGACGAGAAGGAGCAAGAGGATAACTGGCCACGGTTGTGAAGTGCTGTTTCTTCAGCTGGCTATCTAGGTGAACACAATCTTGCAGGTGGATCAAAAGCCACTGCTGCTCTTCGGGGTTGAGAATGGGATTGGTGTGGTCATCAGGCGTGATGATGGGATTTTCGTGATCCTCAAGGGTGAGAATGGGTTTGGTGTTGACTGTCATTTTAAGCGTAGTTTGGAGTAGTTGTATTAGTTATAGAAGCTCAAGTTGTCGCTCAAATGGTGAAAGTAGTATATGGTTGATGTTGAGTTTCAATGAGATAGATAAGTTTGGAAGGGAAGAAATCTATTAGGGATTGGAGTAGACAAATAGAAACAAAAGCGAAATATAGGAGTCGAATGCACCAGGCAGACATCGCAACCATGAACAGACACCGCAGCCGTAAAAGAAGGCGGGCTTGGGATATACTTCGAAGGTTGCAAACTTTTGCTCATAGCCAGTCCTTTCAGATAAACTCACTCGTCTATATAGATCCATAGACAGGCATAATATAAGTTCAAATCGGAATAGTCTTTTCTCTTTATAGATAGCGAGATGAGTGAATTTGGAACATAAGTCATTAGCCATACCATACCGTGTCTTGTTCATCGTCATGCTCTCGCGAACATCGACCACTTTCTCCCCAACACTAGGTGAGAACCCTTGCCACGCATAAGGGTCCGTCTCTCGGACTTCGACTGTTGCCATTCTATCGCTCTCACTTATCGAGTCTGACTGATTCTGACAAGCTGGCAGAGTGTCTTGACAGCCTTGGTTGCCGGATTAATGTCAGTCCACATGGTGGAGGGTTTGAAGATGAAAACAGTGCAGGTTGCGACATTTCAATTTGAGGAGGGTTCGATACGGCTCATTCCCGAGTACATCGGTCTTGCCATCTTGATGAATGCAATTCATTTCTGAACAGGACAGAACATAAGAAATGGAAAGTCGGAAAGGGCCGAATGGAACTCCAAGCTTGACCCCTCACCTGGGCATTACCAGAGATAAGCCAGATAAGCGCAATTTATAAAGCTTTCCCCCTGTCCAGATGATTTTTTATTTTTTATTTTTTACTTGAAATATTTTCTATCATGAAATATCGTTTGTGGTTGGCCGGCAAAGAGCAAGATGGGAATGCAGATCTGTGTGTGACGGCTATCTTGACACTTGAACCAGCACTGACAAGTCTACAGCATTCCCATTGAAGATCCGGCAACTGGAGAGATCTTCGCGCAGTAAGCTAACTCGGAGTAGCGTTCGATCCCGTCTAACCATTGCCAGATGCCACGCAGCCTCGCCAGAAGATGTCGAGACCGCCATCTCCGCCGCCCAGGCAGCATATAAGTCCGGCGTATGGTCGCGTGCGAGTCGTCACCATCGTGCCGATGTGCTAGAGAAATGCGCAACGCTTCTCTCCGATTCCCTCCCGCAGCTCATCTCAACAGAATCAAAACAGACGGGTCGGGTGATTCGGGAAATGAAGGCCCAGGTCCCATCTTTGACAAGGTGGTTCAAATACTATGCCTCCCTGCTAAGAGTCGAGGAGCGATCCGTTCTACCGACGATGGGGAAACTGCATAACTTTGTCGACCGAGTCCCTCTCGGAGTGGTGGTTCAGATTACCCCGTTTAATCACCCGTTGTTGATTGCCGTGAAGAAGCTTGCTCCAGCGCTTGCTGCTGGAAACAGTGTCATAATCAAACCTAGCGAGCTGACTCCATTGACAACTCTCTTGCTGGGCAAGATCCTTCGCGAGGCGGGAATTCCAGATGGCGTGTTGAGCGTCTTACCTGGTTATGGAGCTATCACCGGCAAAGCACTGGTTGAGCATCCATTGGTGAAAAAGGTGGACGTGACTGGTGGCACCATGGCCGGAAGGGCAATTGGTAGGATTGTCGGTGGGAATCTGGCAAAATACACTGCGGAGTTGGGTGGAAAGGCGCCCTTGGTCGTGTTTGAAAAGGCCAACATCGATACGGCGATTAACGGGATCGTCTTTGGAAGCTTCATCGCAAGTGGTCAGACATGTGTGGCCAGCACTCGGATTATAGTGCAAAACTCGATTATGGATGAGCTACTACACAAGCTCAAGGCCAAGATTGAGAGCATTACACGCCGAATTGGTGCTCCAAGTAACCCGGAATCTACCATGGGGCCACTCATCTCCGAGAAGCAGCTACAAAATGTGGAGCGCCTTGTCAACAGCGCTCTAGATGGAGGGAATGCGGTCGCTCTCATCGGTGCAAAGCGGATGGTTTCTCAAAGCCCGCTTGACGGATTTAACTTCGAGAGGGGATACTTCTACGAACCAACGCTACTTGCATCCAACAACGGGAATAACAGTATTGTAAAGACAGATGTCTGGCGCGAGGAGGCGTTCGGCCCTGTTATTGTCGTTGCTGGTTTCGATACCGAGGAAGAAGCAATAGCATTGGCAAATGACAGCGAGTTTGGATTGGGAGCCGGTGTATGGACACTCGACCTTCCCCAGGCTTTCCGAGTTTCGGAGCAGATTGACGCAGGAATTACTTGGGTGAATACCCATCATCGGAATGACCCTAGCAGTCCATGGGGAGGCGCAAAGTCTGCGAGTGGAGTCGGAAGCGAAAATGGAATCGAGGCTTACAATGCCTACACAACATCGAAAAGCACAATCATAAATTATGCGTCTCCCGATGAGTCCTTGGCTGCGGATGACTGGTTCGGAGATGGCTCCGGCAATGTTAGATATGGTTGAATGGAATCATGTTGCTGGTTTCTCCGGACTCTGTTGCACAAATCCTCGAAGGGATCAGCATGGATATTAGTGAGTGTACATATGTAGACTAGGTAACAGACATTATTAGCAGAATACTTCAAGGCAATCAATCATATATCAGTTAAAAGAGATTATGTCCAGACCAATCCACCTCTCAAGTGCATTTCACTTCGGTCTGTTTTCTACAAATTCGTATCTTCTGGCAAATAAATGCATACATACATAAAGCTAGAACCCAGAAAAATTAGTAGGTAGTAAATGACTGCTAGTACATACTCGAATAGCCAAGATATAGATCTAACCGGTAAGGGAAATGCATGATGTCATACCCATCAGCCCAGATACTAGCAGGTTGGGCTTTGGTTCATTTCTTCAAGCATGCATCCCCTCAAATAAATTAATATTTATGAAACCTGTTAAATCAAGGACCGGTACTAATCTTCACTATGTCAATCTGGGGTCGCAGACAAGACCATAAGCCCACGGAGCCATCTGGCACACAAAATGGGGATGAACATCGGCATGCGCCAGAGGAAACATTCGAAGAACCTACTGAGCGCTCAAGATTACTTCCTGCAGATAGTCATGAGGGGTTTCTAAGCCCAGATGATCCCGCCGTGAGTCCAACAAACAAAGCTACACCAAATAACACGCTGGAGGCAAAAATCATAGCTAACACGAGAACCAGGTATCGCCCTACAATCTATGGAGCGTGCGCGCGGTGCACGGTGCGTCAGTTATCGCATTGGCAATGAGCTTCATATGGTGGACATTCCTGCTTGTCTCCATATTTGTCAGTCCACCGATGATCCACCCGCGAGGGTCGGGCTTCTTTGCCTTCTCATATACCACCTTGGCGACAGGATACCTCGTCCTTGGACTCTTATTTTTCGCAGTGCCATCCAAGTCCATGACAATATGGGCCATTATACTTGCCGTTCTACTTTTGGTTGATATGTTTATTATCCTGGCTGCGCCGCGGATCCGTCTTGAAGAAGGCTGGGTAGGGATTGCTTCTGTCGTCTGGGTAGCTTTGATATCTATATACCAGGCCATCCAGAATCGAGCAGTTGCTTGGGGTAAGCGCGAGGAGGAAGAGCGTCTTACTGGTCGAGAAGAGACTCGGCGCTCCCTACTGGAGTGGATTGCTGTTTTCGCTGAGACGATTCTAATGGCTGCCATGGCGAGCGCTGCCGTCATGTTAACAGCCACTCTGATCTTGCGTGCTTTCGACTCTGGGCTCGAGGCTCCAGGCGAGCGATACTTGGTGCATGCGGATAGCTATCAAGTTCATCTCGCTTGTGTCGGGAACAAGACTGCAGACGACAATGCACCGACGATTCTTCTAGAAGGTGGCAATGGACCAGTCGAACATACATTACAACCGTTCATCGACGATGTATACGGCCGTGGCGGTATCGGCAGATATTGTTACTGGGACCGACCAGGATTCGGATGGTCCGACAACGCACCCTCGCCCCATTCCGCCGGCATGTCAGCGGACGTGCTAGCCGAAGCCTTGGCTCTTGCAGGTGAGACAGGTCCATGGATAGTTGTTTCCGCTGGAGTTGGCAGTCTTTATTCGAGGCTTTTTGCCAGTCGCAACCTTCTCGAAGTTCGGGGCATTTTCATGATCGATCCCCTCCACGAGGCATACTTGGGAGACATTGGGCGACCCGGTCGTGGGTTTTTGCTCTGGCTTCGTGGTATCGTTTCTCCGCTGGGATTCGATCGGCTTGCGGGCGCTATTTTACGCGGCCGTTCTCGCCAGGACCGCGTTATCGGACGTTCGGCTTACCAGTCTGGAAAATACATCAAAGCAAAGCTACAGGAAAGCCTCGTGGCTGTCACCATGACTGCCTCCGAGATACAGTCTTCTCGCCATATCCAGATGGGCCATGCTCCTGTAGTCGTTGTGAGCTCTGGTCAAGAAGTCCGAAAGAATTCGCAGTGGGCAGAGCGACAGGAGGATCTGTCTCATCTTACAGATAATCTTTTGTCTTGGGATATTGCTGACGATGCACCCCATGAAGTATGGCATACTGGACAAGGACGGGCGATATTGGAAAGACGTTTGAAGGAGCTTGTCCAAGAAAGTCAGGTACAAAGACCCATGAGCAAGTGATCACTAGTTTGACATCTTTATTCGGGCGTTCATTGGGATTCAAATACCGTACAGAAAATTGCCACAATTGTGTCTTATAAAATATTATCTCTGCGAAGCTGATGATGGGGGATATGATGCTATGGCCTAGTAGTACCTCCCTCGCCTGACGCGACGTCGCTACATATGAATGAACATCACTTGTATGTCGGTTTCTTACTTAGTAGCATCTATTTCGACGAACACATTAATCCAATCGAGAACTTCTACCCCATATCTAGAAGAAATTAGAAAAGCCCCTGAAGCGAGAGCATCAGTGAATCATCTAATCTCAGGACACTTCTTGGAGGGCTGTAGGATGCCAACTGGATTTGAGGTATATTCGTAATAAATGCAGTAAATTCGGGCAGAGCTTTAGCCTGCTATAACTAGCCGACGGATCCAAAACTTCCATTCTCGCATCGAATCTCCATTTCGGGTCCAGGAATCGAAGATATCTCGGGGAAAAGGCGATGAATGGCCTCCTCGTAACTTTTAAGGCAACGCGGTGGGAAAAACCGAGCCGAAGGGTCTAGGGGGAGTGCGATGAAAACCGAACGGCGGGAAGACGAAACCGATCACTCTAAACTAGCTCCCTTAAACCTCTTAGCAAGCTGGTCACTCTCGGGGCTGGGAGATATGGACCGGGGTAAGGTGGAGGGTGGGGGGTTGCGACGTTTCCGGGTTTGGGAATCCGGACGAGAAGGCTCGGCCGGTGTGGGCCAGGGGCGCTTGGGGGGCCGCTCACCACTCTCTTGAAGAATTGTCATCAATGTGGCCCATCCTGGGGTATTCACAAGTTGCATGCCCTCGGCGGGGGACTTCGTTCTAGCGACACGGCAGAGGAGTGATTCCTCATCCTGTTCGAAAATGCGAGTTAGCGTCACGTACACTAGATTGAATTATACACAATAGAATACCGACCTTGCTAAATGTGCCTACTCCATGCAAGAAGCACAGGAGGTGGAAGTCGGAAACGCCTTGAATAGCTTTATCTGGATCACCATGGGACATGAGTTGCTGGGCAACGTGTCGAAGATCTTGGCTCTCGCCGATGACTTCCCGATTCTCGATAGGGAAGCGACTGTTGGTGAATAATGGGGATGGCTCTGTTGGGAATCCGTGGGTGAGGGTGACTAGTAGGAAATCGACTGGGAAACTCGGCTCAGCGCTCTCCTGTACGCTTGCACCGTACTCATTAATTCGTCGGTAGAAAACTTCGGGGATGTATCGTGTCCTGCTTCCGAGATCTTCGTCATGCTCTGATTGCACCAGCATTACGGTCGGGTCTGCTGAGGGTTCGACGATATCTCCTCGAACCATCTCAACTGCAGACACGGATGCTTGGTACGAGCTGATAGCAATCGCACCTGTCTCATCTCCACTGAGCACACACGTTACAATATCCGAGCCGAACTGTCCTGTCCGGCTCCATCTCGTTGACTTAGGATTTTGTGCCTGGAGTCGTGCCGCGAAGGCAATTTCGAGTGAAGACAAGAAGTATGAATCAATGTGCCGCTTACAAACCACTGAACCATCCCCAAGCCCGCCATCAATCAAGTCAGTAAAGATGACACCAACCTTCTGCAATCCGCAGAGACGAGCTACCTCGTCCACTTCATTTTCGTTGTGCCAGTCATGGAGTGTTACGCCATCGATTTCGCCCGTTTGCGGGGGCTCGTAGATCGCTTCCACGACAGCCTTGACACCTAGTGGTACTTCGGTGTATTCCTCGTATGTACCGTACAAGAAACCTAATCGTTGAGCGCCTGACTTTCGCCAGAAATCAAGGAGGGAATTGATTAAATCAGGGGATGAGAACTCCACATGGTCTACCATACGGAATTCCTGGGGTTGCAGACTGATTGCGCTTGGTTGACATTTGGTGCAAATTCCCTCCGGCCAAGGCGGATGCCCCGATGGGCAGTCGCTTCGCACTCGGTAATATGGTTCGTTGAGTGGAGGCATGAACGAGGTTCCCATTTCGGGCTTGTTAGTCGCGGCATTGATTTTCCGCAGGTATGAGTGGAAAGAGAGATGCTTGATTTTCTTCTCTTTCATGTTGTTCGCATCGTAAGGCTCGAGTGGCATGCAGTAATCACACATGCCTCGGGGACCGTGTCTGCACATCTTGTAGTCCATTCCACGCTTGATCTTTCCATCTTTTTTGTCTAGCAGATCGTCCAGCGGTGACTGCTGCACTAGCTCCCACGGGTTCTTGACTGGAGCGGAAGAACTTGGTTGTTGACGGATCGGGACCGTCTGTTGCTTGGGGATCGGAGCTCCATTGAGTCGGTGTTCTGTGGTGGTAGATGTGTTGCCGTTCGAGGCTCTATCCTGCTGTGCCTGTTCCTGGTACCCAATAAAGAGCTTATCGCCATGCCTTCAATCCAGCGGCGCGTGAGTAATTCAACATGTAGATGTAAATATGAAACTCAACACTTACTTGAGGCCAACCTGCTGAAGCGAAACCCCTCGTAGGTCTTCCAGTAGTCTTTCCTCACCACCTGTGCCGATCGGTTTATTCGAGAGGGCAATGGACGAAGCTTCGACGTTGTCCGGGAGGTGTTCTAGAATCTAATGCCGATTGCCAGATTAGATTTTGGCTCTCATCCTGCTATCGTTCCCTTCCAACTAAGAGCCGATAAATACCTTTTTCTGAAGTGACGGGAAGAGTTCCTGCGGGCTGACCGTGAGTCGAAATTGTCCGTTTCGACTCTCAAATCGGAGAAGAATGGAGGCCATCCTAAGCAAAACTATAGCACGGTTGAGGATGAGGATTGAGAGGTAGTGGCGTCACCTTCCAAGGAACACAAGTGGAAGAAATATTCGAAGACAAAGAAGGCACATGCAAGTGAGAAGAGAAGCTCGACTTAAAGCTTCCTTGGTCACGTCACAACTGGCGGGCGGTATGGTACCTGGCTGACAGAACACCCCGCGGTCGGCTTTGGAGTTTTGGGGGAGGCGTCGGTAAATTCGTTACCACGGATACAGAGCCTTGAAATAGAGAGCCAGAACCTGGACAGTACTTATAAATACTTTCAAATGGAAGTGATAACACAGAACTGCCTCTTGTAGCATCGGTACCAGAGGCAAATTTGGAAAATGTGAGCAAATGACTGTAGGAGGCAGAAATGTGCCCTGAGGGTACTAATCGTGGAATGTAACTATACGTGGATATATCAAGTTGAGCATCTACGTTACAATAGGCTCTTGCAAAAGCAATTGAGTAATCTTCTTCCATATATTTCTTCCATTGGCTAGAAATAATTGGCTGTTGAAAATGAGAATGGTATGTCCGTATCATCATAAGATATAAAAAAGGCGTAAGGAACGCCCCAGTGAGAACAGTCTAGAATTAGAGAACGCAAGAAGAGACATGGGCCCAATCACAAAATTGTACAGTTCTTAGGCAAACCGCATGGCCCCTCATTGCTCTTCTTCTTCTTGACTAGCTCCTGAGTATCCTTGAAAGGCTGCTCGGTCTTTGGAGCGGCCTCCCCAGCAACAGGAGTCGAGCTCTCCGGCTTTGACTCGGTACTGCCATGCATTCACTGGACCTTAGAAACAGTCTCGTAGAAGGCCTTGCCCTGGGCGGTGGCAATCTCGAGCTCAAGCGCGGAGGGCTTACGGGAACCGTCGGCAGCCTGTAGACGGGATGGTCAGTGAGAGAAATGCATCGGGGAGTGTCGTTATAACTTACAGCGAAGGTACCAGCACCCCAGGCGCTACCGCCGTGAACCTCGTCCAAGTTGCTGAGCTGGGCGAATACGGTCTTGTAGCCCAGAGGAACGTAGATGAAGCCGTGGTGAGCGAGAGTGCTCATCGAGGCAAGGGCAGTCGACTCTTGACCACCACCCTGAGTACCGGTCGACACGAAGAGACCGGCGTACTTGCCCCAGAAGCCACCAGTGGCCCAAATGCCACCGGTCTTGTCCCAGAAGGTCTTCCACTGAGCCGGGAAGTTACCGTAACGGGTAGGGATACCGAACAGAACAGCGTCGAAGGCGAGGAGGTCAGAGGGCTCAACAATGGGATAGCTAGCCTTGGTAGGAGCATGCATCTTGGCCAAAACTTCCTCGTTGAGGGTCTCAGCGATCCTAGAGATTCAATTGTTAATTAACTGACTCGAGGGGCAACAATGATAGCATGACTGACTGGAAGATCTCGGCTTGACCACCAGCGGACTCGATGCCCTTCTTCTCAGCCTCGGCCAGGGCCTGGATGTGGCCGTACATGGAGTACTGATCGGAAAATTAGTGAGATGGGAGAGGAATGCATTGCCATTGGAAGACATACATAGACGATTGCAACCTTGGGAGCCATTATGACGGTTTGAGGATTGTAGAATGAACGTTGTAGAGGGAAAGTTGAGAAAGGAAGAGCGGGGAGGGGAGGTAATTATAAAGGTTAACACCCTGTCGAGGGGAATATCCTAGGTACATCATCCACCATATTAATTAATAGGCAGTTTATGTACCTCTATGATTAGCGAGCGCAACGAAGCTTTGCAACAAGTTATCAGTCATCGATGACAGAGCAAAATGGAACATGATTGGCTGATCAGGTTCCACTCGGATATAGCTCTGGCCTTAGTGATTCTTACTGAGAACTGACAAATGAAGATTTACGTGCCGAGGGTGTATAACTATGCGTAGTAGAGTTACGAATCTATTAGTAAAAATGATACTCCGCAAGTGTGCAGCTTCTACCGCAGAGGGGGGTTGTTTTAGTCAACGGAATTATTAACACTAACTAATAGTTCGGTCTGTCTAGACAGTGCCTATCATGATGTCATGTAACTAATCGCTTCTGTGTTTAACTCTATATTTTGGCGTACTGAGACGTACTTGGGTCCGATGGCTAAATATTACCACCACAAGGAATTTGGGTTCACGACACTACGGGTCTATCATTGCTGCGAAACCAGTGTGGAATGTTCACACCAATTATGCCATTGAGCTCAAGTGAAAAGAATGAAT